TATATATTTGACATTGAGGCTGCTATGAGAAAACCATGACAGCGTTCTACTATCACAAACTCTGTATACCTGACACCGCACCACTCCCATATGAGTGGCGGCCCTCCTCTCCACACACCTGCACAGGTGTGATCATTATCGACCAAACAGGAAGAGCCAGACTGGAAACTGGAAACTATCTCACAGCTGTAGGGAGAGGGTGTGTGTGTGTGTGTGCTGGTGCATGGGTGCTTGTGCTCAAGTTAAATTACATTATAAAATAAATTATACTATATGATGTCATGTTATATGATTGAATGATTATCGCTAAGTGTGAAGTCCACAATCAACAATGATATCCATAATTATTGTTGACTCATAGTTTTAGAACGTGTGTCAAACTCATTCCATGGAGGGCTGAGTGTCTTCGGGTTTTCGATCCTCCCTTGTATTTGATTGATGAATTAAGGTCACTAATGAGTAAGGAACTCCCTTCACCTAGTTGTCTAGGTCTTAATTGAAAGGAAAAACCAAAAACCAGCAGACACTAGGCACCTCCATGGAATGAGTTTGACACCCCTGTTTTAGAATGTCCATGTTTCAGGAAGCTCTTTGAGCAGTAGCTATTGTTCCATGGTAATAATAACAGCAGCAACAGGGTTAAAACATTACTGGAATGTCCTTTTCCCTCTGAACACCAACTTCTCCCCTCACTACTTCCTGTACTCTGCTTTCGTGGAAATACTTTCTGTAGCGATAAAGAGGGCGTATTAGCCAATACACTTCCCCTCTTCAAATGGGACAATTTACAGTACAGTGACAAAGCTGTGGGGGGCAGGTTTCTGTACTGGCACAAACTGTTGAAAGCACTGCTGTGCTGTACACAGGGTTCCTGCTGAGTGACAGACTGAAACTGTTGCATGCCAGCCTTTTTGATAATAATAATCTATTTGTAAAACGCATTTCCCATGCTCAATGCGCATAAGGTAAAAAACAAAACAAACAAAATTCAGCAACAATACATCAAAAAGTAGAAAGAACTATCACAATACCTCAAACCATTACCTACTAATACAAAATATAGACATTAAGCAGATTAAGTGATCAAACATTAAAAGCTAGTTGTGTTTTAAACAAGGAAATTGAGTTGCCTCCTTGACATGTGTAGGTAGAGCATTCCAGAGCTGAGGGGCGACATGTGAGAAGGCCCTGTCAGCCATGCTGCAAAGGTTTGTGGCTGGGGTGACCAGGCTGTTTGAGTCTGATGATCGTAGTGTGCGTGCTGGGGAATAGTCCTCTAGAAGTTGGCATATGTATATAGGTGCATCACCCTTGAGGGCCTTAAAGGTGAGCAGCAGAATTTTTTATTTGATCATGTATTGAACAGGAAGCCAATGGAGGTTGAATAAAACAGGGGTGATGTGGGTTTTTTGTATAGTTTGTGAGAGCATCCTGGCAGCTTCGTTCTGGATCATCTGGAGTTGAGACAGAAGCCTTACTGCTATTCCTGTCAGCAGTGCATTACAGTAGTCAAGCCGAGATGTTACTAGGGCATGCATAAGCTTCTCAGCATCCGCAGTGGACAAGAACAACCTGATTCAAGCAATGTTATGCAGGTGTAAAAATGACACTTTCTTGATGTTGCGGATGTGTGCTTCAAATGAGAGTCTAAAATGACATCCTGGTTTCTTGCAATGGGGGAAGCTATGATGGTGTCATCATCCAGAGTAAGGAGAAAGTTCTCATCTTGCTCTGTGCACTCTTAGAGTCAATAAGCCCAAGCTCTGTTTTGCTGCAATAAAATTTTAGGAAGTTCAACTGTATTCATCTCTAGACAGTTTGGTTGTTAGTCTCAGTGTCCCCGTTTGTCCTCACATATATTTGTGTGTCATCAGCATAAAAATGAAAGTTTAGTCCAAATATTCAGATTAGTATACCAAGTGGCAGCATGTACTGTATATAGAGAACAGGAGTGGTCCCAGAACAGAGCCCTGACTGTGGCAGGGTTGGATTGATATTTGCCAAGTGTCACAAATTCTTGTCTGTCAGTCAGACAGGAGTGAAACCACTGGAGTGTTGTGCCAGAGAATCCCAAAAAGTTCTTAAATCTGCTGATGAGAATCTCATGATTCACTGTGGTCAAAGGCTACTGTCATGCCCAGAAATAAAAGGATGCTAGTGTCTCCATCATCAGCTGTCATCAACAAGTCATTTGATGGATGCTGTAATAGCATGTGTTTACATTGATACATACAGAATATAATGTACAAAGATGAAATACAACATGGGATCAGATTTTTACCACGTCATTACAATTATTTGGGACAATTAAATGTCAGTTTGCATTCCAACATTAACTACAATGAATGAATGGCTATGGAAGAGGGGATTTGGGGTGGGTGGTGGTAGGAGGCATTGCCATTCTGTCAGTTAAAATCAGGAGCTAATATGTTTCACTTTTCTTTTTCCTCCTCTGCCTCTTCCCTCTCTCCTCTCTCTCTTCCATTGCCTTGATGTGCTGTAAACAGGCTGAAAAGGGCCCAGCTGTGTGGAGTTATTGTTGGTGTCAGTAGGAAGTGCTGATAGCTTTTGCAGCTGAACAAAAGCTGGATGAGGGGAGTGGAGGGGAGCTCCAGACACTGTGGCTCCAGTCTAGATTCTCTCCCACAATCGCTGCACCGCACTCCCATTGTTCTGGCTGCCCTCCCTCCCTCCCTCCCTCCCTCCCTTCTCCCTTCTCCCTCTGCCATGTCATCTGCGACCTGGGACAGAGGGCAAAAAAAGAAAATAACGTTTTTCTTTTGTTTTAGGGGCTATTGCAGAAAGTTTTAAGAAGTTCCTAGTTAACTTTGTTATTACCAGTAATAATAGTTAAGTTACCATTATTGTGTGTGATGCTGGTTGCCTACTCCTATGGGTAATTTATTTTGAACCTTATAACAATGGGTTTAGTTTATAAATGTAAATATATATATATATATATATATATATATATATATATATATATATATATATATATATATATATATATATATATATATATATATATTAAAGTAACATTTGCAATTATATACATAGCCTAGATATCACCAGAAAAACTAGGGAAAAAACGAATTAAAAACAGAAAATAGTACATTTATAGTTATTTTAGCATATGGTCTTAAAATGCTGCATAACATATAATTGCACTTTATAACACTGTTTGCAATCAATAGCTTTTTTTAATGAATGCTTAACTTTTTCTTGGAAATTCTAGCTTTTAGAAAAGCTGCATATTTCATATAAGACATTTTTCTGGTTGCTGCTGTGTGTTAATGTGAGGAGACATCCACATACAGACAGACTCCTGCATATAGACATATTTTCATGTGAAGGAATGCTGCCACAACTGATCCTATCAATTTGCTAAAAATGCGGTACAAATGCATGCGTTCACTTTACAGCTCTCCCTCGATCTCTTTATTTTCCTAAAATACTCTGCTCGAGTAAACTGGCAACAATGGCCGTTTGCAGGTGCGTGGGGCGGTAATCTCATCAGAGTGATTTAAGGTGATAAATGAATGATGATCACCACAGCCAGTTCGTTCTCAGGGGTTGCGCGCTACGCAGGTGAATGGGGGAGTGCAAGCCTGTTGTTTGAGGTCTCCATAGCGACCGCCCGCTCGGCGCCAGGCTGACAGGCGTCAAGGCTTGGATGAATGGGTGACGTCACGGCGCTGGCGCCTGCCAGTCTGCCTCGGCTTGTTTGGACAATCTGGGGGAAGATTCAGAGCAATGCAATTTCAACATGCACACAAGGCTGAGCACACACGGAGAACATGTGAAGGAATCCGTTAAGTTGCTCACAGGAGCTTCCCTTCATGAGAGGAAAAAGAGAGTCTGTGCTAAAAAGTGCAGTGTGTAAGTAGCCAATAAAGAAAGCTTTGACTTTTAACACAGATTCTCTGTCATCTATGTTAACAGGAGAAAGTGCACCAAAGACAGACATGTATAAATAAACCTTTATAATAAAGAAGTAATGCTAAACCAGTTATTATCCATTGTCTGGATAGGTCTTCATCAATGGTACCTTTATAACATGGTCATATCTGTGGTGCTCTTTCTAACGGTTATTGGATGGGGGAAATCTCAGGAGCTATGGTTATCACCATTCACATTTACGTCATTTAGCAGACGCTCTTATCCAGAGCGACTTACAAATTGGTGCATTCACATTATAGCCAGTGGGGTAACCACTTTACAAAAAAAAAAATATTTTTTATTTTATATATTTTTTATTATGATTTTTATTTATTTGGGGGGGGGGGGGGGGGGGGGGGGGTTAGAATGATTACTTTATCCTATCACAGGTGTTCCTTAAAGAGGTGGGGTTTCAAATGTCTCCGGAAGGTGGTGAGTGACTCCGCTGTCCTGGCGTCGTGAGGGAGCTTGTTCCACCATTGGGGTGCCAGAGCAGCGAACAGTTTTGACTAGGCTGAGCGGGAACTGTGCTTCAGCAGAGGTAGGGGAGCCAGCAGGCCAGAGGTGGATGAACGCAATGCCCTCGTTTGGGTGTAGGGACTGATCAGAGCCTGAAGGTACGGAGGTGCCGTTCCCCTCACAGCTCCGTAGGCAAGCACCATGGTCTTGTAGCAGATGCGAGCTTCAACTGGAAGCCATCCATTCAATCCCATCCCACACACATTCACAAACACAGCACACATATCCAACACCACCCCTTGAGTGTCCCCAGGAACTCTACACCTGCAGAGTCCTCAAGCCATGGACAGCTGGATTCCCACATATCACCCGTAAAAAGACAGACATTTGTTTCGATTTGTAACGCCATCCCTCAAACAGATTGTAAATCCTGATAACCAGGCGCGCGCTCCCATTGGCCAAGAACACAGTTGTGAACCGTCCTTCTAGCGCTAAAACGGCCATGCTATTGGACCTCGCTCCGCAAACAGGACAAGTTTGTGGACGCCCCCAAATCCAGTCTACTATAAACTCAAAGCGGTACACTCGTGCGTTGTTGAGAACTGTCAACATCACTGAGACAACATTAATATATAATATTCCCAAGACTACTAACAAGACTTTTGGAGCCTTTGCTAATCTCCAAAGATTTTACGCACCATCTTTTCATTATCCTTGGAAACTACAACATCAGCCAATATGAAGGTTCTCGGACCTACCTGCGCACTGAAGAGCAAGGAAGGAGGCAAGGACATGGTGCGGTGCCTATCCGACCAGAGCCTTTCCATCTCCAAATGTAAGATCCCGCTGCTGGACGAGCAGATGACCGTGTTTCTGCAGGACATGAACAGTTGTTATAGCAAGCTGAAGGAGCTGGTCCCCACTCTGCCTACCAACAAGAAGGCCAGCAAGGTGGAGATCCTCCAACACGTCATTGACTACATATGGGACCTGCAGGTCGAGCTGGACGAGCCGGAGAAGAACCGTCAACAGAGCAGCGTGCCGCGCACACCCCTGACAACGCTGAACGCAGAGCTGGCCAGTATCACTGTCGAGGTAAATATCACTCTGACATGTCTTGATGAGTTTCTACAAGACCTACCTAGTGTCTCCCAATATCTGACCCGACTGTAAGAAGTAATAAGAATAGTCTGTAACCGTTTATAACTGCGTAAAGTTATGTTCAGTTTCACGAGTTTCAGTAGGCAAGTCATTTCACTGCAAACACTGACCTAAACGTTTTTATTTTCTCTTTCCAGAATGGATGCTCGGATGACAGAATCATGTGCCGCTAGACCTCTCGGAGTATCGCCCCATCATTCCAGAGCGACCACCACGATGAATGAACAAGGTTACATTATGTGACATTTGATCACGACCAAACCTTGAGCCAAGTAGGGAAGTTGCAAACTCCCATGCTAGAAAATACTTTCGATGAGACATTCTAAAGAAGCGAGGAACTGTCACTCAAGGCATTCGATCCATTCCGAGGTCTCTGATCTCATGGAGACGAGTGGTTCCGAATAGACTGTGTTAGCCAGGCGACCATGGCAGTTAGTGCAAACAGCTTCGCCTGTTGTTGTGTAGTTGCTCAAGAAAGTCAAAGTTTCTGTTACGTTTTTGTATCTTGTGAAACATGTAGAAATTCCACATTTTGTAAAAGAAAAGTAATTCATTTTCTCAGATTCCTGAGCGACAAACTGTATTGTATATTACAATGTCACACTATGTGAAAAAATATTGTTTTTTTTACAATGTACCTTAATGGTGTTTTTATTAAAACAAGACAATTATTTTTAAACATGGCTTTTGGGGTTTATGGTATGTGTGTGTCATAGATAATTCCCATTCCACATCACATTCAGTTAGGCATAATACATTCCTATAGTGTTTACATGTGCACATAAGATGCACAGGCTTGGAGAGATGAGGGAGAAAAACGTTCCCTGGACTAAGTTCTGGAATAACTACATCAGTTTGTGTAAAATTGAGGGGGAGGGGGCTCTTATTTTAAGAAGTATCATTCACCTTCAACTATTCAAAATCCTTTTTTACTATCAGAATTAACTGCCTCAGCTCCTGAAATGACTTAACAGTTAACTTGTAATTTGCTGTTGAAGGCCTCATTAACATACAGTATCAAATAACATGGTGAAGTATTGAGTGTTGAGTCAAGAGGTCTTGACGGATATTGGCAATGATAACTAGCAGAAAATGTGTGCTGAATTGTATAAAAGGTAATGCACTCACTGTCAAACAGATTAGCAAAGTTATAGGAAAGCATTTGGTCTAATCAGGAATTAAGTAATACATCTATTCACAAAAAACTGAATAACAATTTGGGATATGCTAAAACACTGATGTAAATTGTGTTTTAGTTGAGGATCCTCTGCACTAGGGTTTTTATTTCGGCAGGGCAGGGGTTAAACTGTTTTTGGAAAGGCAATTCATTATAAGACTTATTCGGTCTCCCTGGTGCAATGTTTTCCCATCTCCCTGGGGTGCGATGCGCACAGCTGCAGCCCCGGCGTTCTGAGGCACGGCCAGTGTGTGATTGTGTTTGTGTGATAGCTTTGTGCCAAGGGCAGGGGAGGGCGGTTGGGCCCAGACTGAGCGGCGCCTCAGCACACCTGGAGAAGTTCAGGTTAAATAGCTTCACATTCCTCAACACACAGCTGATTGAAACATTAACAAACAGTAATCCACGAGCCAGGCCGCAGATGGGTGGGTTGCCCTGCCAAGAAAGAGACTCTCGCTCTCGGTTATAGATTATATTCCCACACATAGTAGACCTACAGTATAAACGTGCTATTACTATATACTTTCATATAACCACGCTAAATAATTTAGACTATTTAAAATGAAATATGTGCGTAAGGTATGCTTAGCCTAATTGTGGATGAAATATGCCATGTTTTCTACTGTTATCTTTCCAATAATAATATATTCCCGTTTGAATTGACTTTTCATTCATACATTTTTTCAGAGGAAAGTTTAAGAGCCCTCTTATAGGTTACCCCACTTGGCACAGACATCAATTCAACATATATTCCACGTTGGTACAACGTACTTTCATTAAAATGATGTGGAAACAACATTGATTGAACCAGTGTGTGCCTAGTGGGTTATTAATTATTAATTAGGGTTCTGACTGGGAAGGTTTTGTAGGCTACAGATGGGGCCTACCTTACACAGTAATATAATGCAAAAAGATATGCCTTAATTCCAAACAATCACACAAAACAGAATAGCAAATTATTTTAGATTAGATCATATCTTTCCTGAATACTTTAGGTATGCATGCGTGTTGTAGCCTGTTTGTCAATGTTTTTTGGAATACCTTATAATATACCGCACCCATGTGGCTGCTTGGTGGGCTGCAGTCCACTCAAATGACATCAACTGTCTCAGTCATGTTCATGGTTAATTCACAGGCTATAAACTGGCACCAAGTGAAGGCAGCAGCAATCTGACCACAGCTGTCATATGTGTAAAACAGCCACTATGCAATGTTATTGGGATGTAGGCTACACTCTTTACAGCTCAAACAAAGATCACTCCAAAATCCTTCTTGAACAAAATAAAATGTACGCAACATGCAACAATTTCAAAGATTTTACTGAGTTACAGTTCATATAAAGAAGTCAGTTGAAATAAATTAATCAGACCCTAATCTATGAATTTCACATGACTGGGAATACAGATATAAATATATAACCAGAGGGGAAAAAAAACTCTAGACCACCTTTACTCCACACATAGAGACGCATACAAAGCTCTCCCTCGCCCTCCATTTGGCAAATCTGACCATAACTTCTTTAAAAGTAATTTCCTTTCAATCTTAAATAAACATGCCCCATTCAAAAAATACAGAACTAAGAACAGATATAGCCCCTGGTTCTCCTCAGACTTGACTGCCCTTGACCAGCACAAAAACATCCTGTGGCGTACTGCATTAGCATCAAATAGCCCCCGCGATATGCAACTTTTCAGGGAAGTTAGGAACCAATATACACAAGCAGTTAGGAAAGCAAAGGCTAACTTTTTCAAACAGAAATTTCCATCCTGTAGCACTAACTCCAAAGCTGCCGCGGTCATCCCCCTCTTCAAAGGGGGTGACACTCTAGATCCAAACTGTTACAGACCCATATCCATCCTGCCCTGCCTTTCAAAAGTTTTTGAAAGCCAAGTCAACAAACAGATCACCGACCATTTCGAATCCCACCGTACCTTCTCCGCTATGCAATCCGGTTTCCGAGCTGGTCATGGGTGCACTTCAGCCACGCTCAAGGTCCTAAACGATATTATAACTGCGATTGATAATAGACAGTACTGTGCAGCCGTTTTCATTGACCTGGTCAAGGCTTTCGACTCTGTCAACCACCGCATTCTTATTGGCAGACTAAATAGCCTTGGTTTCTCAAATGACTGCCTCGCCTGGTTCACCAACTACTTCTCAGATAGAGTTCAATGTGTCAAATCGGAGGGCCTGTTGTCTGGACCTATGGCAGTCTCTATGGGGGTGCCACAGGGTTCAATTCTTGGGCCGACTCTTTTCTCTGTGTATATCAATGACGTCGCTCTTGCTGCTGGTGACTCTCAGATCCACCTCTACGCAGACGACACCATTTTGTATACATCTGGCCCTTCATTGGACACTGTGTTAACAAACCTCCAAACGAGCTTCAATGCCATACAACACTCCTTCAGTAGCCTCCAACTGCTCTTAAACACTAGTAAAACTAAATGCATGCTCTTCAACCGAACGCTGCTTGCACCCACCCACCCGACTAGAATCACTACTCTCGACGGGTCTGACCTAGAGTATGTGGACAACTACAAATATCTAGGTGTCTGGTTAGACTGTAAACTCTCCTTCCAGACTCACATTAAGAATCTCCAATCCAAAGTTAAATCTAGAATCGGTTTCCTATTTCGCAACAAAGCCTCCTTCACTCATGCTGCCAAACATGCCCTCGTAAAACTGACTATCCTACCGATCCTTGACTTCGGCGATGTCATTTACAAAATAGCCTCCAACACTCTACTCAGCAAATTGGATGTAGTCTATCACAGTGCCATCCGTTTTGTCTCCAAAGCCCCATATAATACCCACCACTGTGACCTGTACGCTCTTGTTGGCTGGTCCTCACTACATATTTGTCGCCAAACCCACTGGCTCCAGGCCATCTATAAATCACTGCTAGGCAAATCCCCGCCTTATCTTAGCTCATTGGTCACCATAGCAACACCCACCCGTAGTCTGCGCTCCAGCAGGTATATCTCACTGGTCATCCCCAAAGCCAACACCTCCTTTGGCCGCAATTCCTTCCAGTTCTCTGCTGCCAATGACTGGAACAAATTGCAAAAATCTCTGAAGCTGGAGACACTTATCTCCCTCACTAACTTTAAGCATCAGTTGTCAGAGCACCTTACCGATCACTGCCACTGTACACAGCCCATCTGAAATTAGCCCGCCCAACTACCTCATCCCTATATTGTTATTTATTTTGCTCATTTGTACCCCAGTATCTCTATTTGCACATCATCTCTTGCACATCTATCATTCCAGTGTTAATACTAATTGTAATTATTTTGCACTATAGCCTATTTATTGCCTTACCTCCATAACTTGCTACATTTGCACACACTGTATATATATGTATTTCTGTTGTATTTTTGACTTTGTTTTGTTTTACCCCATATGTAACTCTGTGTTGTTGTTTTTATCGCACTGCTTTGCTTTATCTTGGCCAGGTCGCAGTTGTAAATGAGAACTTGTTCTCAACTGGTTTACCTGGTTAAATAAAGGTGAAATAAAAAAATAAAATAAAAAAAATAACTCTATCCTCCCGATTCCTGCTTATAAGCAAAAACTAAAGCAGGAAGCACCAGTGACTCGGTTAATAAAAAAAGTGGTCAGATGACGCAGATGCTAAGCTACAGGACTGTTTTGCTAGCACAGACTGGAACATGTTCCGGGATTCTTCAGATAGCATTGAGGAGTACACCACCTCAGTCACTGGCTTCATCAATAAGTGCATCGATGACGTCGTCCCCACAGTGACCGTACGTACATACCCCAACCAGAAGCCATGGATTACAGGCAACATCCACACTGAGCTAAAGGGTAGAGCGGGACTCTAACCCGGACGCTTATAAGAAATCCCGCTATGCCCTCCGACAAACCATCAAACAGGCAAAGAGTCAATACAGGACTAAGATTGAATTGTACTACACCGGCTCTGACGCTCATCGGATGTGGCAGGGCTTGAGAACTATTACAGACTACAAAGGGAAGCACAGCCGCGAGCTGCCCAGTGACACAAGCCTACCAAACGAGCTAAACCGAAGCAACACTGAAGCATGCATGAGAGCACCAGCTGTTCTGGATGACTACGTGATCACGCTCTCCGTAGCCGATGTGAGTAAGACTTTTAAGCAGGTCAACATTCACAAGGCCGCAGGGCCAGACGGATTACCAGGACGTGTACTCCGAGCATGTGCTGACCAACTGGCAAGTGTCTTCACTGACATTTTCAACATGTCCCTGACTGAGTCTGTAATACAAACATGTTTCAAGCAGACCACCATAGTCCCCGTGCCCAAGGACACTAAGATAACCTGCCTAAATGACTACCGACCAGTAGTACTGACGTCTGTAGCCATGAAGTGCTTTGAAAGGCTGGTCATGGCTCACATCAACACCATTATCCCAGAAACCCTAGACCCACTCCAATTTGCATACCACCCAAACAGATCCACAGATGATGCAATCTCTATTGCACTCCACACTGCCCTTTTCACCTGGACAATAGGAACACCTACGTGAGAATGCTATTATTCATTGACTACAGCTCAGCGTTCAACACCATAGTGCCCTCAAAGCTCATCACTAAGCTAAGGATCTTGGGACTAAACAACTCCCTCTGCAACTGGATCCTGGACTTCCTGATGGGCTGCCCCCAGGTGGTAAGGGTAGGTAACAACCCATCTGCCACGCTGATCCTCAACACGGGGGCCCCTCAGGGGTGCGTGCTCAGTCCCCTCCTGTACTCCCTGTTCACCCATGACTGCATGGCCAGGTACGACTCTAACACCATCATTAAGTTTGCCGACGACACAACAGTGGTAGGCCTGATCACCGACAACGATGAGACAGCCTATAGGGAGGAGGTCAGAGACCTGGCCGTGTGGTGCCAGAATAACAACCTCTCCCTCAACGTGACCAAGACAAAGGAGATGATTGTGGACTACAGGAAAAAAAAGAGGACTGAGCACGCCCCCATTCTCATCGATGGGGCTGTAGTGGAACAGGTTGAGAGCTTCAAGTTCCTTGGTGTCCACATCACCAACGAACTATCATGGTCCAAACACACCAAGACAGTCGTGAAGAAGGCACGACAAAGCCTATTCCCCCTCATAAGCCTATTCCCCCTCAGGAGACTGAAAAGATTTGGCATGGGTCCTCAGATCCTCAAAAAGTTCTACAGCTGCACCATCGAGAGCATCCTGACTGGTTGCATCACCGCCTGGTATGAAAACTGCTCGGCCTCCGACCGCAAGGCACTACAGAGGGTAGTGCGTACGGCCCAGTACATCACTGGGGCCAAGCTTCCTGCCATCCAGGACCTCTATACCAGGCGGTGTCAGAGGAAGGCCCTCAAAATTGTCAAAGACTCCAGCCACCCTAGTCATAGACTGTTCTCTCTGCTACCGCACGGCAAGCGGTACCAGAGCGCCAAGTCTAGGTCCAAAAGGCTTCTCAACAGCTTCTACCCCCAAGCCATAAGACTCCTGAACAGCTAATCATGGCTACCCGGACTATTTGCACCCCCACCCCATCTTTTTACGCTGCTGCTACTCTGTTAATTATTTATGCATAGTCACTAACTCTACCCACATGTACATATTACCTCAACTAGCCGGTACCCCCCTGTATATAGCCTCCCTACTGTTATTTTATTTTACTTTTGCTCTTTTTTTCTCAACACTTTTTGTTGTTGTTTTATTTTACTTTTTTATTAAGAAATAAATGCACTGTTGGTTAAGGGCTGTAAGTAAGCATTTCACGGTAATGTCTACACCTGTTGTATTCGGCGCATGCGGCATATAAAATTTGATTTGATTTGAGATATGCATCTGTTGGTCACAGATAACTTTTTTAAAAGGTAGGGGCGGGGATCAGAAAACCAGTCAGTATCTGGTGTGACCACCATTTGCCTCATGCAGCGCGACATCTCCTTCGCATAGAGTTGATCAGGCTGTTGATTGTGGCCTGTGGAATATTGTCCCACTCCTTTTCAATGGCTTTGCTTAGTTGCTGGATATTTGCGCGAACTGGAACACGCTGTCGTACACGTTGATCCAGAGCATCCCAAACATGCTCAATGGGTGACAATGTCTGGTGAGTACAGGCCATGGAAGAACTGGGACATTTTCAGCTTACAGAAATTGTGTACAGATCCTTGCGACATGGGGCCGTGCATTGTGCTGAAACATGAGGTGATGGCGGCGGATGAATGGCACGACAATGGGCCTCAGGATCTCCTCATGGTATCTCTGTACATTCAAATTGCCATCGACAAAATGCAATTGTGTTCGTAGTCCGTAGCTTATGCCTGCCTATATCATAACCCCACTGCCACCATGGGGCACTCTGTTCACAACGTCAACATCAGCAAACCGCTCGCCCACAAGACGCCATACACGTGGTCTGCGGTTGTGAGGCCAGCTGGATGTACTGCCAAATTCTCTAAAACGACGTTGGAGGCAGCTTATGGTAGAGAAATTAACATTCAATTCTCTGGCAACAGCTCCGGTGGACATTCCTGCAGTCAGCATGCAAATTGCACGCTCCCTCAAAACCTGAAACATCTGTGGCATTGTGTTGTGTGACAAAACTGCACATTTTAGAGTGGCCTTCTATTGTCCCCAGCACAAGGTGCACCTGTGTAATGATCATGCCGTTTAATCAGCTTCTTGATATGCCAAACCTGTCAGGTGGATGGATTATCTTGGCAAAGGGGAAAAGCTCACTAACAGGGATGTAAACACATTTTTGCACCAAATTTGAGAGAAATATACTTTTTGTGCATATGGAACATTTCTGGGATCTTTTATTTCAGCTCATGAAACCAACACAATTAGTGAAAAAAATATCAGAATTGGGCTGCCTGTCTAAACGCAGCCTAAATGAGGCATTACTTACATAGGCTCATAGATCCATTGGTAGAGCAGTAGGCCATTTAAGATTAATCTCCATCACACTCTGTTCTTGGCAGTCTTTTCCAGCTCACTCCACCCTATGAAAGTTATTGGTGTCCGTCTCAAGATCCAGAGATGAGCCATGCCTCATTAGACAACCCTAAATTCCTCTTGATTAATAAATTGTGGACAAAAGACAAAATGTTGGCGCCATGAGTGTTTAAATAGAAATTTGTATTTACATCAATATCAACATCAGTTAGTGCTAGCTGGCCGGGTTCCTTGGGACGTCACTAACCATAACCCTTATCCAACCATTTAAAATTTCAACTTCAATGGGGGTAGAGATGTCCCAAGGATCCAGGATAGCATGGCCCTATCAACATCGAGACAAAAACTGTTGGAATATACATCCTGTAAAACAAAGGAAAACTACAAAAGTTAGCATACCCAGGTGAATAGATCCTTTGTTTTTGACTTCAATGAATTTCTACATAGGTAATTTCATGAAGTAATTAAAAACAGGACAAAACCGAATGTTACTTTCGGAAAAAAACATATGCCTTTCATTCTGTTGCATTTCACTGCAAAGAGCGTCGCCAGTCACTGAATCACCCATCCACACATTACTGCTAGCTACCCACTGGCTTCTGAACAACAGTACTCATTGCCCTATGCTATCAGTACAAAATCATAATATGCATTTTATAAATTCATGATATGACGATATGTACCCAGTTACTGTCTGCATATACAACACATAGATGAAAATGTACACTGTCAAAAACTATACAAAGAACTGGAAAAATATCTTTGGATTGCGCAAGGTTTAAGGTAGATTTCTTGGAGTCAAGAGTAAGAGTCAAAGGAAATGAGGAAATAAAAAACACTAGCGAGAGCAAGGAAAGAAAGGAAGAACTACTTTACGAACAGTCCCTTGTCAATAACGCCACCCCATCTTTTTCTATAACATTCATACACACACTCCAACACAGCAGCTTGCTAGACATCTCTGCTCATTTAAGAGACGGTCCTTTCTTCATTCACTGCAATCCGGTGTTTGTTTCCCTCAAACAGTTTCATCATTTCAAAAGCTCCAAACTGTCAACACACCACATCAAAATAAAAGTGCTTCTAAAAAGAAACACATGGCTGTTATCACTTAGAAGAAACCCATGGCTGTTATCACTTAGAAGAAACATGTTTAGAGGAAAATGACAAAGTGGAAAGTGGGAAACCCACACACGCTCACTCATCAGTCCAAAACGTTCAAATAAACTGCAAACTAAAACAGTATTGACCTTGAAGACAAATATACACAAAATACACACATTTGACCAAGTCTCATACTCTGTGCAAAAAAAGTGATCTATAAAAAGCATGTAAGATACTTTCGTAGCATATTTACAATTCATATTCACATAGAAGAAATGCCATTAATACTGCAGTACCGTTTATTTATGAGTTTATGACGCTCAGTTTCCATCTAAAGCATAGAGGAAAGTTGTATTGCTTGAATCTGCATAATATAGAAATAACCTGTGCTTACAGCTCCCCAAATTTATAAAAAATTTTTTTAATACAAAATAGAGGCGCATATCCAAAGGATAAAAGGAAAATAAAATCAATGCTGTGAATGCATTGAATCTCTAGTAAGGCTGTAATGACTAAGAAATATTGCAACAATCCTTTTACATAGAAGCCCTCTGATAAAGTGCAGCCATAGCTAGTTGTACCGTATCCCATCCTGTTTCAAATAGATTATGTTTCCCTGCACACACGATGCGGCCTCCTCTGGTGTAGCAGACAGGACGTCGATCACACTCCCACAGGTCAAAAGAAGAAAAAGCAGGGCCTCTTCTTGAACTAAGTCCCACACACTCCATCCAGAGAGAGGCAAGCCTACAACGGGAGGCTGCATTAGATATGAGGTGTGTCTTTATTCCAGAGTCTCTCACTGTGTAGTCGGTTTGTTTTCACTGTGGCTTATGAGTGTCCTCCACACGCAAGCCAGAGAACAGCGGAGGGAGAAGATCTTGGGGCTGTGTCCGGTGACCCCTAGACATCCCTTCTCCCACCCACACTGCAGCCACAAAGGTGGGGCACTGCAGTCTTTGCTGTCCTCCTGGTGAGGGCTCCTAAAGATTACATACGTTTTCAGCAATATTTCTGTAAATGACAAAATGGATGGACAGATGTTACAATAAATCCACACTGTTCAGGCTGAGCTATCAAATCACTACCTGGAAGTTATTACACTTTTATAACTATTTTTTTAAATTAACAAATGACAAACTATCTACCTGTTCAGGTCCCATTGGCATTCGGCCCATTCCCATGGAGTTCATGCCCATTTGCCCCTGCATCTGGCCCATCTGTGCTCCACCAGCACCACTGACCGGGCCTGGCCCGCCCATGGAGCCATTCATCATCATGGGCCCCCCAAACTGGCCTGGGTTCCCCTGCTGGGTGAACTGCTGCTGGGGGTACGAGCTGAAACACAGAGGGGTATAAAGAACAGAGTAGAGAAGATCGAGATAGAACAGGAAGTAATGTTTTTTTTTTGGCCATTATAATCAGCGTATCAGACATACTTGTTCCGTGGAATTCCACCCTGTCCACCCTGTGGCCAGCCTTTCATGTCTGCTGACTGGTACATGGGGCCACCCTGGGGGTGGTGTTGCATCATGGGATTCTGAGGCCCTCCCACGCGACCTGGCATCATGTTGCTGGGCGGGCTGCTGCCTGCGCCTACAAACGAGGGTTCCCCCTGCTGGCTCATTCCTGTAAGCACAGCCAGAGACAGGTCTTAGAATTAACAATGCATACTTGTAATAATGCGTTAGAAATAGCAGTAAGAAAGAGAGGACAGTTAACATTACAACCCCTATGGATGGAAAAACTCCTGGTCAGAAGGTTATGAATGGGAAAGGGAGTTGGGACCGGAGTATAGAGCCTTCTATTTTAGAGAATAGTCAATGGAGGAGATGCATCAAGGCTAGTAAATAAATGGAAATGTATCTGGGTCAGATAGCTCACCATAGTTTCCGCCGTAGTTGAACTGCTGCTGTCCTGGCTGGTTCATGGGGGGTCCTGCCATTGGGTTGTCCATGCCTACAGAGGCTGTGATGTTAGGTGGGGGGCTGAAGCCTCCTGTTGCAGCCTGTTGCTGCTGCTGCATTAGCATCATCATCCGCTGTCTCCTCATCTGTAGTGTCATCATCTCTCTGCTGCGCTGAGCCATCATCTGAGCATTCAGGAAGCCAGGCTAACCAAGCAGACAGGGGAAAACACTGATACGACTGCAAGTACTACATGGCAACAGGATGGGTTTAATCAGTGTGTGTGTGAGGTGGTCTGCCCTACCAGATGTTGATTTTATGGAACATGACGTGGGAGTCGCAACCCCTATTACTAGCCTGTTCAACCTCTCTTTCGTAACGTCTGAGATCCCCAGAGATTGGAAAGCTGCCGCGGTCATCCCCCTCTTCAAAGGGGGTGACACTCTAGATCCAAACAGTTACAGACCTATATCCATCCTGCCCTGCCTTTCGAAAGTTTTTGAAAGCCAAGTTAACAAACAGATCACCGACCATTTCGAATCCCACCGTACCTTCTCCGCTATACAATCCGGTTTCCGAGCTGGTCATGGGTGCACTTCAGCCACGCTCAAGGTCCTAAACGATATTTTAACCGTGATCGATAATAGACAGTACTGTGCAGCAGTCTTCATCGACCTGGCCAAGGCTTTCGACTCTGTCAACCACCGCATTCTTATTGGCAGACTAAATAGCCTTGGTTTCTCAAATGACTGCCTCGCCTGGTTCACCAACTACTTCTCAGATAGAGTTCAATGTGTCAAATCGGAGGGCCTGTTGTCTGGACCTATGGCAGTCTCTATGGGGGTGCCACAGGGTTCAACTCTTGGGCCGACTCTTTTCTCTGTGTATATCAATGATGTCGCTCTTGCTGCTGGTGACTCTCAGATCCACCTCTACGCAGATGACACCATTTTGTATACATCTGGCCCTTCATTGGACACTGTGTTAACAAACCTCCAAACGAGCTTCAATGCCATACAACACTCCTTCAGTAGCCTCCAACTGCTCTTAAACACTAGTAAAACTAAATGCATGCTCTTCAATCGAACGCTGCTGGCACCCGCCCACCCGACTAGAATCACTACTCTCGACGGGTCTGACCTAGAGTATGTGGACAACTACAAATACCTACGTGTCTGGTTAGACTGTAAACTCTCCTTCCAGACTCACATTAAGAATCTCCAATCCAAAGTTAAATCTAGAATCGGTTTCCTATTTCGCAACAAAGCCTCCTTCACTCATGCTGCCAAACATGCCCTCGTAAAACTGACTATCCTACCGATCCTTGACTTCAGCGATGTCATTTACAAAATAGCCTCCAACACTCTACTCAGCAAATTGGATGTAGTCTATCACAGTGCCATCCGTTTTGTCTCCAAAGCCCTTACCGATCACTGCACCTGTACACAGCCCATCTGAAATTAGCCCGCCCAACTACCTCATCCCTATATTGTTATTTATTTTGCTCATTTGCACCCCAGTATCTCTATTTGCACATCATCTCTTGCACATCTATCATTCCAGTGTTAATACTAATTGTAATTATTTTGCACTATAGCCTATTTATTGCCTTACCTCCATAACTTGCTACATTTGCACACACTGTATATATATTTTCTGTTGTATTTTTGACTTTATGTTTTGTTTTACCCCATATGTAACTCGGTGTTGTTGTTTTTATCGCACTGCTTTGCTTTATCTTGGCCAGGTCGCAGGTGTAAATGAGAACTTGTTCTCAACTGGCTTACCTGGTTAAATAAAGGTAAAAAAAAAAAAAAAAAAAAAAAGGGGTATGACTACCTACCTGACTCCCCATACTGGGCTGCATCACAGGCCGCATCGCAGGGTTTCCTGTAGGGGTATTCTCCATCTTGATGCCCATGCCCTGACGGGTCTGGTTCATGAACTACAGAGGGAGAGAATAAAGTTAGTCACATTTGCCATCCATATAGGTGATCCACTTGCCTGCTTTCATATGTGCCTCTACATCTAGACATCACAATCAAATGTAGCCTCTTCTGCAACTTTGAAGTGATGTGTGTCTTATGCTCGTACCTGCTGGCCCTGTAACCTCTGCACCAGCTGCTCTCTAAGGGGCTTGATGGCGCTCATCATGCGGGGTCTCATGTTGGCGCGGGGGTGACCCATCCCCCCCATGCCAGGGAAGCCCCCTGAGCCTGCCTGGCCCGCCATCTGGTTCATCACGGGGTTGAAACCAGCAGGGGACTGGCCCTGCATGGGGTTACCCCCATAGACTGACTGCATGCCCATGGAGGGGGGTCCTGGGTACCCCTGGCCATACATGGGCTTCTGCTCTATCCCCATGGAGGTGTCCGGTCCTGGGCCAGGGAAAGGCTCTGATGGGGGCCTCTGCCCCGGACCTGGCTGCTGCTCTGGACCATGAGTCTGGGAGGGAGAGAGAGAGGTTAGACATGGTCAATATAACAGTGTGATTCTTATCACATGGTTTTATAGGGACTGTAAATAGAGGACTCAGCTCCATGTTATCTGGATGTCCTCATAAGGTACCTGTCCTACGAGGTCGGGGATGCCCAGGGCCCGGTCAATCTCCTCCAGGGCAATAACATCAGTGTTGTTGAGCAGAGAGTCCAGCTGGTCCAGCAGCGCCAGCTCATCATTCTGCCCCTGGCTGGTGGAGGGCGGAACCAGGAGCTCATCCAGGGGGTTCCCAAACTGACGCCTGGTACACAACAAGGAAGGGGGATTAGTACAGTACATGCACCAGTTGTACTGTATACAGAGGAGCCAATGCACTCCAGACCTAATGATGCTAATGATGTTTGGGTTAATAGGAGACAGAGCGAACAGATGGGGCGGGGGGAACTGAATGAGGGAGACAGTGAGTGTGTATAAATGTGTTTATGATTAAGAAGGTTATTCACCTATTTGTGTTAGTGGGTGGTCTGTCCATTCCCATGGCACTGTCAGGCCAGGAGGGGGACTGAGGTGGAGGACCCTGCCCACTGAAGGGACTCATCCCCATATTCACCTCACTGGAACCTACAGAGAAAGTAGAATTCAGCATGAACCAATCATACATACACAAACATGAAGAACACGCATACAGTTGGTCATAAATACTCAACCAAACTACATGTAATATTCACTCACCCCGCCCACACACACTACATACCAATTTCCATGAGTTGCTGCTGCAGCATAGACCTGGTGTTGCCAGGTAAACTATTGGACCGGTTGACCAAGGGGCCTCCCATCATGCCCTTGGAGTTGAAGTCCATCCCTGGCCGGCCAATCGAGGGGTGTCCTGGTGCCCCCACAGGACTGCCACTGGACCTGGTCATCCCCCAGTCACCTTGCCCTGCCATGGAGGGCCGCTGTGGCATCCCCATAGCCCTGTTCATACCTCCTAGGGAACACACATAAATAGTGCGGTTATGATCCATGAACTAAATACATCTAACTGTAGTACTAAACAGCAGTGCTGTCATTGGAGTGTAATAAGGAGAGGCAAGAAAGGTCACTAGATTGAGAGGGAAAGGGGCAAAATCCATGTGCTGAAACCAAATCAACCCAACCCCAAAGTAAGTGAGTAAGTTACTTGTGGCGGCACCGGCCCGTGGTGGACACACACCCATGCCTCCAGGTCCTGGAAAACCGATGGTCATGCCTGGCCGAATGGGGGCCTCCATGTTCTCCAGTTTGATGAGGGTGGGGCAGGGGACGTTCCTCCTCCCTGCCAGGCCTCCACCACCACCCAGGGGCCGAGCTTCCACTGACAGAGCCCTCTGGAGGGGCCCACGCTGGGCAGACATCATGGCTCCTCTCTCCCCATCTGGAACAGACAGAAGGGTCAGTACAGGCCAAGGACAAACCCTCTACATATAGTAAGGATGTATGGTTTGCTGCATAATAGTTATTTTAAATGGACAACATATTAGCACTTCTGGAATGATCTATTCAAAATTCTAATTAGCATCCACTCATGCTAGTTTACCATGCAAACTTTCTGGGCCATTTCCCTGCTGGTTTCCCACTTCTTTTCCTGCTCTGGAGTCTGGTTTGGGATAAAACCTGGAGCTGGAGTTCCTGCAGCCTCCAAGAATTGTCTCCAGGGTTTCCAACTGGGAAGGAAAACAAACAAATGTTACTGTTAGTTAACAAGCTGCTCTTTGCTGAATAAATAATATAAAATTAATTAACCGTAGGCACAATGTCCCACCCTACCTCATCAGGTGGTTCAGTCTTGACCTTCCCCACCATGGGGTTGGGTTCAGAGGTTGTGACCCCTGAGGCTCCCCTCCCCTCTAACTCATCCAGCTTTGGCTTGACATCACCCCTTGACATCACCCCTTGCCCTTTGGAGTCGTCCTTGTTGAGGAGGTAGTGGAGGAGGGCGTGGGTCTTCTCCTTCTTGGGGCTGTGCTGCTCTTGCTTCATCTCAGCCCTCCTCGGCCCTGGTCCCAGTCCTGGGCCTCCTGGCCCAGCCTCTGGACCACCACCATCTGTGACCTTCCCCGTGGCCTCAGCTGTGATGCGGGCCACCTCATCTGGGGTGTTCCCATTCTGCAGCAGCTTGTGGAGGATCTTGTGCTTCTCCTGCAGGGACTGGTTGGCAAAGTGTGCTGCTGCAGCCCCTGCTCCTAGGCCTTGCTGTCCCACTGCAGCAGTGGAGGACACGCCCGTGGAGGAGGGGCTGATCATACCCCCCATGCTCTCCTTGGCCTCAGAGCCCATGGGGGTGGTGCCAGGGCCGGCCTGGGGATTAGGGGGCACCAGCTCCTCTGTAGGGGAGGTGAGGAGCTGCAGGAGCTTCTTATGGCCCCCCTTGTTGTCAGGGCCCCGTCGGTTGGCTTCTCCCCAGGCTGGGCCCTCCCTGTTGGCCTGGATGTCTGTGGTCCCCTCTGTAGTGGGGGTGTGTTGCTGCTGCTCCCCTCCACTGGCCAGTGAGCTACCCGGGCTGTTGGAGTCTAAAATGCCTGGTTTACAGAGCCCGCCCTGCCCCTGGCTCTGTCCCTGCTGGGTGGAGTTGATGCTTGGGGAGCTGTCAGGCTTGTGTGCGGGGGGAGAGGTGAGTGCTGGTAGAGAGGTGCCCACCCCCTCACTGATGGCCTGGAGGGCATTTAGGGAGCTGCTGGAGAAACCGGTGCTCCCTCCTGACCCCCCTGGGTGACTCGAGCTCATGGGAGAGTGCATACCTCCTGGAGAGAAGGGGCTAGCACACATTTTGGGGCTCCCCCTTACTCTAGGGGAGCCCATGATGTTCTGCTGGGAGGCATTCATACCTGGACTGCCCTGGGGGGGGCTAGTCATGGCCCCCATTCCGTACCCAGCACCATGGAACGGGGCCTGCTGCTGCTGAGGATGTTGATGCTGCTGATGCATTCCAGGGAGGCTCATCTGACGACTCTGGTTCATTCGATTTATCTGGTTAATCTGACTCATAGAATTCATCTGGTTCATTGAATTCATCTGAGAGTTCATTGGATGAATGGAGTTTGTTTGATTAATGGAATTCGTCGGACTCATATTGTTCAATGGGTGCATTGAATTCATTTGAGAGTTCATTTGATGCATCGAAGAGTTCATTTGATGCATCGAAGAGTTCATTTGATGCATCGAAGGGTTCATTTGATGCATCGAAGGGTTCATTTGATTCATCTGGTGCATCGCGTTAGTCTGATTAGTCTGATTCATGGAGTTCATCCTGTTGCCCGCTGCATACGGGGGGCCGCCTCTCTGACCCATGTGCCCCTGCTCTGCCCCCATGCCGTAACCCCTGTTCATGACACCCATGCCCCCTCCAGGAGCCATGTTCATCTGGGTGTTGGGATTGGTGAGGCCCATGCCCTGTGGCCTCATCACACCCCCATGGTTGGTTTGGTAGCCATTCTGCTCCCTGACAGAGAGAAGGAGAATGAGGGGTGAGGAGTGGAAAACACTATACTGTACTTATTGTATCTACTATACAGTAAAAACCTAAATCTGATCTACTACAACTGGACATAGAAAACAGTCAAATCCTACACTGAGTGGGTGATGGTGATGCCATGGCTCTGAGCACTCCAAGCTGACAGACTAACCTCTGTAGCAGGTGGGTAGAAAGGAAGGTGGGTGGCTCATTGGAGGCGTGGTTACGACACAGTTCGCTCCTGGTCTGAGCAGTGACCGGGGTGCCGTCGGAGAGAGAGAACCGGTAAGATGGCGTCTCGGCACGGCCATGCAGAAAGGCTGGAGAGGAGAGAGGGAGAAAACCATGAAGACAGAGACAATGAGACTGACCAACCAACATGCTTATCACCTAATAGTAGCCTTTGTTATAAATTAGGAGCAGAGATGCTTTGTACTTGTGCATTTATAGCTCAGTATCAAGGTGAGACATTGGTGAGAAGATGATTATATTGCAGGGAGCATGGAGCCAGAAGAGTTTAGCAGAGAGAGACGTACCCTCCTGGTAGTGGCGTTTAAAGGACCAGGGCTGGCCCTCACTGTGATGGAGGAACATCTGCATGCAGCGCCTCACCAGGTCCTCCCAGCCTGGATGCATGGTGGTGTGGAGAGAACTCTGCTGTTCGATCTCTATCAGTTTTCCTATCAGACAACACAACCACACACAGGGCATGGGTCACATACATGGCAACTGTATTCTTATTTAATTTTGACTCTCTCTACACAGTTGAAGTCGGAAGTTTACATACACTTAGGTTGGAGTCATTAAAACTTGTTTTTCAACCACTCCACAAATGTCTTGTTAACAAACTATAGTTTTGGCAAGTCGGTTAGGACATCTACTTTGTGCATGACAAAAGTATTTTTTCCAACAATTGTTTGTTTACAGACAGATTATTTCACTTATAATTCACTGTATCACAATTCCAGTGGGTCAGAAGTTTACATACACTAAGTTGACTGTGCCTTTAAACAGCTTGGAAAATTCCAGAAAATTATGTCATGGCTTTAGAAGCTTCTGATAGGCCAATTGACATCATTTGAGTCAATTGGAGGTGTACCTGTGGATGTATTTCAAGGCCTACCTTCAAACTCAGTGCCTCTTTGCTTGACATCATGGGAAAATCAAAAGAAATCAGCCAACACCGCAGAAAATAAATGGTAGACCTCCACAAGTCTGGTTCATCCTTGAGAGGAATTTCCAAACGCCTGAAGGTACCACTTTCATCTGTACAAACAATAGTACGCAAATATAAACACCATGGGACCACGCAGCCGTCATACCACTCAGGAAGGAGACACGTTCTGTCTCCTAGAGATTAGCGTACTTTGGTGCAAAAAGTGCAAATCAATCCCAGAACAACAGCAAAGGACCTTGTGATGATACTGGAGGAAAAAGGTACAAAAGTATCTATATCCACAGTAAAACGAGTCCTATATCGACATAACCTGAAAGGCCGCTCAGCAAGGAAGAAGCCACTGCTCCAAAACCGCCATAAAAAAAGCCAGACTACGGTTTGCAATTGCACATGGGGACAAAGATCATACTTTTTGGAGAAATGTCCTCTGGTCTGATGAAACAAAAATAGAACTGTTTGGCCATAATGACCATCATTATGTTTGGAGGAAAAAGGGGGTGCTTGCAAGCCGAAGAACACCATCCCAACCGTGAAGCATGGGGGAGGCAGCATCATGCTGTGGGGGTGCTTTGCTGCAGGAGGGACTGGTGCACTTCACAAAATAGATGGCATCATGAGGAAGGAAAATTATGTGGATATATTGAAGCAACATCTCAAGACATCAGTCAGGAAGTTAATGCTTGGTTGCAAATGGATCTTCCAAATGGACAATAACCTCAAGCATACTTCCAAAGTTGTGGCAAAATGGCTTAAGGACAACAAAGTCAAGGTATTGGAGTGGCCATCACAAAGCCCTGACCACAGTCCTACAGAACATGTGTGGGCAGAACTGAACAAGCGTGTGCGACCAAGGAGGCCTACAAATCTGACTCAGTTACACCAGCTCTGTCAGGAGGAATGGGCCAAAATTCACCCAACTTATTGTGGGAAGCTTGTGGAAGACTACCCGAAACGTTTGACCCAAGTTAAAAAATTTAAAGGCAATGCTGCCAAATACTAATTGAGTGTATGTAAACTACCTGATCCACTGGGAATGTGATGAAAGAAATAAAAGCTGAAATAAATCATTCTCTCTACTATTATTCTGACATTTCACATTCTTACAATAAAGGGGTGATCCTAACTGACCTAAGACAGGACATTTTTACTAGGATTAAATGTCAGGAATTGTGAAAAACTGAGTTTAAATGTATTTGGCTAAGGTGTATGTAAACTTCCGACTTCAACTGTATGTGTCCCTGACTCAAATTCATGTTCTAAACTGTATAGTCCTAAAATTATGCAGCTCAATAGACAATCTCAACAGTTTGAGACTGTTATGTTACTCAGATTGAACGAATGGAACAAGCATTTGAATAGAAAATGAACATGTGAATGTAGTTTGTTTAAAGTCATCTCACCTGAGAGCTCATGGCGGGTGCTGAACCTCTCGCTCCTCTCAATTGCATTGACGCGACGGGCCACACAGATCATACACGACTGCAGGTCTGGACATACACAGCCACAGTGGACACAGCCCAGTCAGTATACACAATCATTCTCTAAATTAACCTACACTACCGGTCAAAAGTTTTAGAATCCCTACTCATTCAAGGGTTTTTCTTTATTTTTACTATTTTCTACATTGTAGGATAATAGTGAAGACATCAAAACTATTAAATAACACATATGGAATCATGTAGTAACCAAAAAAAAGTGTTAAATCTAAATATATTTTATATTCTTCAAATAGCCACCCTTTGCCTTGATGACAGCTTTGCACACTTGGGGCATTCTCTCAACCAGCTTCACCTGGAATGCTTTTCCAACAGTCTTGAAGGAGTTCCCACATATGCTGAGCACTTGTTGGCTGCTTTTCCTTCTCTCTGCGGTCCGACTCATCCCAAACCATCTCAATTTGGTTGAGGTCGGGGGATTGTGGAGGCCAGGTCATCTGATGCAGCACTCCATCACTCTCCTTCCTGGTAAAATAGCCCTTACACAGCCTGGAGGTGTGTTGGGTCATTGTCCTGTTGAAAAACAGATGATAGTCCCACTAAGCCCAAACCAGATGGGATGGCGTATCGCTGCAGAATGCTGTGGTAGCCATGCTGATTAAGTGTGCCTTGAATTCTAAATAAATCATAGACAGTGTCACCAGCAAAGCACCCCCACACCATAACACCTCCTCCATTCTTTACGGTGGGAAATACACATGTGGAGATCATCCGTTCACACACACCGCGTCTCACAAAGACAAGGCGGTTGGAACCACAAATCTCAAATTTTGACTCCAGACCAAAAGGACACATTTCCACCGGTCTAATGTCCATTGCTCTTGTTTCTTGGCCCAAGCAAGTCTCTTCTTATTATTGGTGTCCTTTAGTAGTGGTTTCTTTGCAGCAATTCGACCATGAAGGCCTGATTCACACAGTCTCATCTGAACAGTTGATGTTGAGATGTGTCTGTTACTTGAACTTGTGAAGCATTTATTTGGGCTGCAATTTCTGAGGCTGGTAACTCTAATGCACTTATCCTCTGCAGCAGAGGTAACTCTGGGTCTTCCATTCCTGTGGCGGTCCTCATGAGAGCCAGTTTCATCATAGCGCTTGATGGTTTTTACGTATTGACTGACCTTCATGTCTTAAAGTAATGATGGACTGTCGTTTCTCTTTGCTTACTTGAGCTGTTCTTGCTATAACATGGACTTGGTCTTTTACCAAATAGGGCTATCTTCTGTATACCCCCCCCTACCTTGTCACAACACAACTGATTGGCTCAAACGCATTAAGGAGGAAAGAAATTCCACAAATTAACTTTTAAGAAGGCACACCTGTTAATTGAAATGCATTCCAGGTGACTACCTCATGAAGCTGGTTGAGAGAATGCCAAGAGTGTGCAAAGCGGTCATCAAGGCAAAGGGTGGCTATTTGAAGAATCTCAAATATAAAATGTATTTTGATTTGTTTAACACATGTTTGGTTACTACATAATTCCATATGTGTTATTTAATCGTTTTGATGTATTCACTATTATTCTACAATGTAGAAAATAGTAAAAATTAAGAAAAACCCTTGAATGAGTAGGTGTTCTAAAACCTTTGACCGGTAGTGTATATCAGGCTCTACAACACTTATGTCCCAGTTCCCATAATACATTTACAGAAAGTCAATGTGAGGAGTACAGGTCTGCATCATAAATAGAAAAGACACATCTAACTGTTACACATGATTGAGGATGTCCTGCCCTGCCCCTAGCCCCCTACCTTCTCCTTCCTCCATCATGGCACGGGGCTGGGTCAGGGCGAAGCACTGCATGGTCTCGTAGCGCTGCCTGTTGGGACCCTCAGACTGCCCATGGTTCTGTCCGTGACCGTCCTTCACCAGCATACGGCAGTTAAAGGTGTGGCTCTTCTGCCGCAGTGCCTCTCCTCCCCATGACCCACCATTGGGAGCTGGATGAGACAAGGGGACACAATAATTACTATTATGCTGTAAGAATTACTTTAATGCCGTTCTGCAGTATCCCTAAATAAATAAAAAAAAGTGTGTCTCGCACCGTTGTTCTTGGGCAGGTTCTTGTGCAGCTCCTCCCTGTCATCCTCATGGAGGATGTTGTAGACAGTGGTGTTGATGAGCTCCTCCTGTTTGTACTGCAGGTACTGGGTCACGTTGTCAGACACAAACACTATGCTGCCCTCCCGGTTCACCACAAACAGAAACCCATCCAGGGCCTGAGCCAGAGGAGGAGGGAGGAACAGGGGGAGGATAATTGAATTGTTTGTGTCAATAACTATCAATACTAATGTTTGTGACCAGCTGCACCCCTGTACATACAAGAGCTGTTCACGGTCTTGTATGTCACTGATTCAACATAAGGAGGTGAACATAATTCCACTGCCCTTTGACCCCCACCCTGTCCCCAGGCTAACCTGTAGCAGCAGCGGTCCCAGATGGTCCTTGTCAATGACCCCTTGACCGGTGGAGGACACATCTGCCTTCTGGACATCGTCATCGCTGCACGAACTCTTCCCTGCAGAGGGACAAGGACCCACAGTCACTTCACAGTAGATAAGGTCAATCCAGTTATTATAGTGCAACACATATTGCAGGACATAACACTCTCAACAAGCAACTTAATATCCATTGTGGAATTGTGAGGAGAAATCAGAAACATAACTGCAAAACAGTTTTACAGGAGCCCAAAATTAGCATACAGAAAGAGAGACACCAGTTATCCAGTCAACCACTTGTCACTGCAAAATGACACTGTCCGCCACCAGGAGGAAGCCTTAACAATGTTTATACACTTCTAAAAAGACCATTAGATTTTCAATCATGATATAGTTCCGTGTTCAACATATTCTGATTCCGAGGGAGATTCACTTGGAAGGGAGAGATTGAATAAAAATTGCTTCTAGTTTTCTTTATGTAGAGTTCCACAAGGCTAACACTAATGTGAGGGAAGAGTGGAAACAGTAGGACTAAATTAGACAGACATGAGGAGTAAAGGAATTGGAGAAAAAGAAGGCAAGAGATAGATAGGTGGTTGAAAGGTAACTGTGAGAAAACAAGAGAAGGAGGGCCTTCATCATTCACTTCCTGTAACTATGGCAACCTGGCTGTACAAAGCTCCAAGCAGCAGCAGCCAGCTGTGGCCCTGGGGTGGATTCTAATCCAATAACTTTCCTTCCTTCTCGCTTCACCTTCCTCACTGGTCTAATCCGAGTGGACTTCATAGGTATAAGCTGCACATAACCTACCAGAAGGCTAGGTGGTGCTAATACCATACTGCTTACACCGATCCAACCACTTCAGATCCGCAAAGGGGAAGGGAGGGGGGCGAGTGATTTATGGTGCTGGAATCCCTCACCTCCCCTGTCTTGAGAGACCTCCCCTCCCACACACCCTGCTCTCTAGTCCCATCCGTCTCTCAGGCTGGGCCTGCCACTCCAGTGCAAACAGACACATGAGCCTGGAGCACCATGGCCTTGAGCCATCACAACTCAATTACTGGTGTTCATTTCCCCCAAACACAAACACAGAGGCCAGGCCAGGCAGCCACCACCTAACAGCTTCATCACTGACAGTCTCTACAGCCCAGTTTGACACGGGCATCCTAACCATAAAACCATGCACTGAGCAAATACTACACCAATGATTCATGAATGACAAACCATGTTCTCCTCCGTCTACCTCCTTTTTTTGTTAAGTTAAAATCCAAAACATGCTGATATTAAGAGGATCAGTGAATGAGAGAATTAGGGAGCTGGTACCTTGCTCTTTGATTTGCCTGATCTGCCGGACGGTTTCCTTGAGGATGGCACATTTGTCTGGCTTCACGTTGAAGCTGTCCATGTTGCTGAGGTTGGCAGAGATCAGCTCGGCCAGTTCCTCTATGTATTTACTCTCCTGCTCCCTCCTACGCTTGTCACACCTGCAGGGTGGGGGGGGGTCAAATATGTCACCATGACAACCACACCTCTCTCTCCATAACGACCAGAAATCTTCGGGATTGAAAAACAGATATTGAAGCCAAGGAAAGGGGCATTTCACAGAGGCTAGGGAGGAAAGAAAACACTTTGCTTATAAACACACTGAAAGACAGGCACAGTCAGTCACACACACACAAAGATAGACAGAAAGGAAGGAGATGCAGACAGAGGCACAGCTCCCAACAGTGACTCGCCCAAGGCCTGGTGTATCACAGGTGGAGATCTTGCGTTTCCGTTCGGAGCACATGGGCTCCAGTGAGTTGTCTGCCACTCCACTCATCCTCAGCGCATATCAGCACCTGGGGAGACAAGACAGATGCACTGTAAACACACATCTGAGAGGCAGACACGGACTTAGCTTATTGTACTTCATTCTTCTCTGATTTATGCATTAGAGCAGGGGTTCCCAGACTTTTTTACTCAGGCCCCCCTTCCAGCATTGGGGAACATCCCGTGCTCGCCACATCTATTTCTATGGGCACATGCACTGTTCATGACACTAAAACTGTTCACACCCCTCATTTGCAGAAACATTTTTGTGCAGGTTTTAAAGCTCATTTCCTGCAATTCTACACATTTTGTCATGAAGCCCAGAGAATATTGCAGTTTTAATGCTAATTTTCTTGCAATTCTATACATTTTGCCATGTCTAATGTGTATTCATGTGACATTTGAGTGACTCAAACATCACAACAAAATCTATGGGCAAAAAACCTAGCTAAAAAACGGGCTAGTTGATCTGGACATTTCGGACAAGTTATAAATAGCTAAGGTATGCAATGACTGACATGACAAGATGAAAACTGATGATGCACTACCCAATTTTGAAATCGCACCTTGTGCATTCTACTATTACAACTTTGAAGATTAAGTTGAAAGCCGGACTGAGTTCTCCCCGCCGACCCCTCGCGCCCCCCCACTGCGTTAGAGAAGGTCTCTTCTTAGTGCACCTTGTCCAAGAGGTTTGTCCATTACTACTATTATTCCATAAACTAACAACTACCATAATCCCTCTGTTAATATTTCAATTAAAAAAGAAAAACAGCAAAGGAGATTCAGACAGTAAGCTGGAGTTAGCTAGTAGCTACACGAGTCTCCCTTCATAGCATTTGATAGGAAAATCTCATCTGTTCCAGTGTGAGGAGAGACTGATGATGACGTAGTGATTTAGAGCCTCTGGAGAAATGGGTCATCCTGCGTTCAGCCTGCTGCTGCCTGCTCTACCCCTCCTACTCCTACTCTAGCAGTACAGCAGTGTAGCACAGTAGTCAATAAACCCCAGCACAGCACAGGGACAAGCACATAGAAAACAATAGTGGCGCAGCGGTCTAAGGCACTGCATCTCAGTGCTAGAGGCGTCACTACAGACCCCCTCTACATCCGCTGTTCCCTTCTTCGTAGACTGCCCTTGTTTTCCTCCCCTGGTCGGGCCTTGACCCTCTCAGGGTTCACACCAGAGGAAGACAGCCACTAAGGTCACTGCTCTTTCCCTTTCCCACCCCACAAAGTAAAAACATTCAAGTTCATTGTTCCAGCACTTGAGGGGTAGGATACGACGCACACACACACACACACACACCACTGAAATGGGCAGGCTAGCACACTGGCACACACGGACATACACTGGCTTTCTCACAATCGTACACACACAGACTGCCATGAGCTCATCATTCCTCAGTGGAAAACTGCAGAACGGATGAGAGTCGTTATGCAACCTCAGTCCAAAACTGCAGGCTTGGACGTGTAGAGCACCACCTCTGACACTCCTAGGGGGTTTCTCAATATAAATACTACCGTGCTCCACACTCTCAATAGAGACGGAACAAGACACACAAAGCAAACGTTTTACTTCATAACTATCAGCTAGATACGATATATGTGAATCATAATAATCTAGCTAACCCTAACCAGATCACAAAAATGACCTAAAACTAATGTTATGGCAGATGTCAATTCTTCGTGGGTAGCTAGTTAAATTATTTGTGGCTATATCTGGCTAACAGTAGTTGCTAGCCTGTTAGCTCTATTGACTTACGACCCACACACACACACACACACACACTACAGTGGGTATTGTAGGCAGGTAACAATGCCCAAATTACCCAGCATGTATTTATTAACGTAACAAGCTAAATTATTGTAGTCAGGCAGCACACAGTATGTGATGTGACTCGGCAACATTTCATTCCGAAGTCTGAGTTTATTTTCTCTCGCTTCAGCTCAAATAATGGCCGCCATTGATTTCAAGAAATGTTGCGTAATTTTTTACGTGTTTGCATCATACTTCTGTGCATACTTTCTGTTGAAGCTTGCATCGATGCATTCTTCAAAATATGTACAAACGGAGTATGCATTTGAGAAGTGTGCTCCGTTTCGCATACTTTGATTTGGACTCGTACTCAGACCCTCCCGTTCTCCAATTTGTGTGCTCGGAGCACGGTAGTATGCATTTTGAGAAACACTCCTAGTCTCCTGTAGAGCACCACCTCTCAGACACTCCTAGTCATGTCTCCACTGCATGCTCTCCTTTTCACCATCCCTCTCTAAAATCAGTCTTTCCCTCTCTTTTTCTTCCCCCCTCCTTCCCTCACACCCTAGAGCAGAGTGCCACTTGTCGGTACTGAAAGAAAAAGGCAGACTATATACCTTGAATGTATACAGTATATAGGGGGAAAAGAAGGAAGAAAGTGGTTATATAGGAGACTGCAGTGAAATGTTTAATTTCCTTGTATAACTATTTCCGTTGCACAATATCTGCCTATCATAATGTGGTGCTGGTAAAGCATTTGAACAGATTTCCTCAATATTTTGACAACCATGCTGCCCCGTGGCATCAAACAGTGTATATTTGCATACATACACAGTGCACAAAACATTAGGAACACATTCCTAATATTGAGTTGCACCCCCTTTTGCCCTCAGAACAGCCTCAATGCGTTGGGGCATGGACTTTACAAGGTGTCGAAAGTGTTCCACAGGGATGCTGGCCCATGTTGACTCCAATGCTTCCCACAGTTGTGTCATGTTGGCTGGATGTCCTTTGGATGGTGGACCATTCTTGATACACACAGGAAACTGTTGTGTGAAAAACCCAGAAGCTCTGCAGTTCTTGACACATTCATACCAGTGCGCCTGGTACCTACTACCATACCCCGTTCAAAAGGCACTTCAATATTTTGTCTTGCCCATTCACCCTCAATGGCACACATACACAATCCATGTCCCAATTGTCTCACGGCTTAAAAGTCCTTCTTTAACCCGTCTCCTCCCCTTCATCTAGACTGATTGAAGTGGATTTAACAAGTGACATCAATAAGACATCATAGACTGACCAGGTGAATCCAGGTGAACGATATGTCATGGAAAGAGCAGGTGTTGCTAATGTTTTGTACACTGTGTGTCATTCCAATTGTTGTTAGCTTTTATTTCAACTTAACGTTTGTTGACTTTGAAACCTTGCAGTGAGTCACCCAAACAGACATACATACAATAGGCCGATACTCTGAAAAGGAAGGAAACTAATGTACGCCAGCTAGATATACCCTTTCTATTTCCGAGAGCCGTCTGAACAGCAGCCCACCACGAATGAGTCACAACAAGTCTGGCATTATGTAAATTATCCTGAATCAGCCACTTCTGACAATGTGAAACTTGCCCAGAGATTGGGAGATGTTTGTTCCAGGTACGGGGCAGGTTTTAAAATGATAGGAATCGAAAGCAGTTAATTGTTTTATAAAACAGCATAGGCCTACAAAGTTGGTTGAACTAGATGAATGAATGAAGATGTGGAGAATGAGGTGCAGTGTAAATGACATGGACTCTAGTACACGTGTTTACACACCTTCACCTGATTGTGTCCAATCCCAAGTCTATGACCTCACATGTTTCAGCACAGCCTGTTATGAGAGAGAGAAGAGACCAGTTCACACACACTGTCCACTGGCAGGTCTAAAGCATATCAGGTACTCTGACCAAGAAAATAAACTGGCTACTGAGCAGTAAAGGGTCAATGGATGCTACCAGTCTGAGTCTGACAGACATGACAGTAAGATAAAAAAGGTGAGAATTGGTGAACAAACTTAACCAAGCACAATGTGGCTCCTGACATTTGTAATGTAACACGAACCGCAAGTTTCATTTGGGTACTTTGAGTTTGTTCACCAACTTGGTGCTTTTATTGGAGATGTTTTAATGTGGAGTATGTCCTGCCTTCTAAGCACTACAGTAAGGAGCAATCCCATTGGCTGGCTGATACAGGTTAGAACAGAACCCACACTCCTCTACTTCCTCTTAAAAAGTGTAATATTTGGTAGAACTTCATGGGAACATTAATTCTAAAAAGAAACCACAGAAGATAGCATCCTGTTTGCATCCTCTCTCACCATCCCCTGCGTCATCACTTCCTGGATGTGGCCACCCATCCACCACATTTACATATTCTGTGTATCTGTCCCTTTCCCGCTCCATCTGCACCTTTAAAACCCTCAGTACCAAGCAACAGTAAGCTATTCCCTGTCCGTTTTCTTGGTAACCTAGCCACTTAATTTCCACATCATCCCCTAACCCCTTGCAGAGGTCACCTGCATTATTCATAGGTCAACTTCCTGCCGACACACATGAGAAAGTAGGCACTGCTAGCGTGGCACCACCTGTGTGTGCCTATGGGATCTTCCACACAGATCAAATCCAATAGGTCTCCCACAGCAACTGAGATAAAAGGTACAGCTGAATAATTAGACAGAGGAGAAGGCAGCTGAATATGCAGTACAAGGGGCCCCCGAGTGGCTCAGCGGTCTAAGGCACTGCATCTCAGTGCTAGAGGCGTCACTACAGACCCTGGTTCGATTCCAGGCTGTATCACAATCCGGCCGTGATTGGGAGTCCCATAGGGCGGCGCAAAACTGGCCCAGCGTCGTCCAGGTTTGGCCGGGGTAGGCCGTCATTGTAAATAACAATTTGTTCTTAACTGACTTGCCTAGTTAAATTTAAAAAATTTAAAAAAGAAAGAGGAAGGAAAAGGAGGTAGAGTAAGGGGAGGAGGAAGAGCGTTGGGCTGAGCTCTAGAGCTGCAGTGTCCTTCATTCAGGACCAGAATAGCGAGGAGCCGAGGACATTCCAGCAGAGCCTGAAATAAAGGCTGTAATCTGAGATCTGTGAGACGCAGGCTAAATAACAAACATGTCCCACCCAAAACAAAGATCACGCACACACACTACGGACTGACCATACCACAGCTTTTCACACTCACAACCACACGCAAACATATACATAACCACAACA